TTTTCCGTCCTAACGCAGCAGTATACGCCTCTCTACGCAGCGCCAAGCAGCGCCCTTGTCTGGATCGCGTCGGCGATCTGGTCACTGGTGTCACCTGTCCAGCACTCGGCGAGTCTGCGACGGTCCTGTACCGCGCCAATCGTCGACATGCAGCTCGTTTGCGACAGCGGTGTCGTTCGCATTGGGGATACAGAGCGCTTCACCGGCTTGCTGCTGGTTGCTGTTGGCATCGTCGTTGGCACGTATCTTATTCAGCGGCTGCGCTATCATGGTCGAGAAGGACGAGGGTTACGGTCGCATCTCGTCTACGCCACTGCGTACCACCACTTTGTACAAGACGGCTGGGTCCTAAATGGTGTCTATTGCATGGACCGTGCGTCGGCGGCGATCAATGGCGTGCTCACACTGCGTCTCGCACCCACCCACCGTATGGTGCTCTTGGACATCAAAATGTGGCGGCGGTTCGACGTCGACGTGGCGTTCGTGTCGACCGCTGCCCCCCATCTACAGCATGCCATCCCCCTACAATAAAGAAACATGCATGTGCTCGAGTTTGGGCACGATATGAGTTGATGAACGCTCGCCATTAAGAGTGGCATGGCGGGGTAGAGGCGCCAAGGCAAAATGATAATGGACTATACAGCCTATTCTCGACTTCTCACGTCTATTTGTGCAGCGATTCAACTTCGAGTGCATCAAGTGCAACGTCTCCGTGATACACATACGATGGGCAGAGCGGCCTCGACGAGCCATTGCGAATGCTCTTCTCTCGTGCGGCCACGTCATTGTCCATGTTCGGTTACAAAACTCAGGTATTTTTCAGTGGCGGCGTTTCGTTTCATATCCCAAGAAAGGCCGCATTCGTACAGCATGCGCGTGGCCCCTACTGAGAGCCATGTCCACGCGCTTGCCGCGCCGCGGAGTTCCCGCCTCGCGCTCCTCGCGCGACTCTACGTCGTCGTCTCGTCGGCCCTCAGTCTCTACTTTCTCGTTGTGATCTTGCAGCCCAACATCACCAACGACCTCTGGTGGGCAGGCTTTACCACGGCCGGACCACAGACGTTCCTAGCCGACGTCTTTCATCGGCGTTTGCAGCTAACATCGTCGTATTCGATGCCCCTCACTGAAGTGGTTTTAGAGAAGAGCTATGAAGCGAGTACGTTCATCGATATGACACTCTCGCTCTCGCGTCAAGTGCTTCTCGCCAACGTGTCGTTTGAGAACGTCATATCGGTCATGCGCCACACGCCATTTGCATGGAGCGTTCGCATGTTTGCGCAGTACTGCTGGGTCGATATGGGTCGCGTCTAC